TGATAAAAAAAAAAAAAAAAAAAAAAGGCTCTTGGAGATAACAGACCTGGTGCCAGAGTGTGCTTGTGGCATCAAGTGTGCTGTTAGGACCTGGGAAGAAATGGCTGCTCAACTATGTTATGAAATGGGCACGAATGGACACAGGAAATTATATTTTTAAATTGTTCTATTTTGTTTTAGACTTCTCTAGAGATGCCTAAAAAGTCAGAGTGGAGACTGGCAGTCCCTTTTAGGTAGAGGTTCATTGGGAGTTCAAAGTCACTAGCTCAGTTACTAGGTTATTGTAAGCAACTTTATGCAATTAATTTTGACCTTAGTAAAAGTTGAGATAGCTGACTAGATTATAGCTGACTAAGTGGTAAAGAGAACAGATATTTTAAAAAATAATAGGACTAGAGCAAGAACTCTTCATATTTGTTAATGTGTAAACATAGATAGTATTTCATTGAGGTTGCCAGATTCAGCAAATAAAAATGCTAGACATCCAGTTAAAATTAAATTTTAGTGAAACAGCCCATATTTTTAAAATATAAGTATGTCCCATGCAATATTGGAACATTTTCACACTAGAAATTATTTTTATTGTTTTCTAAAATCCAAATTTAACTCAAATTTTCCTGTATTTTACCTGGCAGCCCTTCAGTTAACCTATATTTTTGCATTATTTTTCTAAGCAGTAATGCTTTATAGAAAAAGTAAAAATCAATTCAAGAATTAATTACTTGATTAGCCTCAATTATCATACTACACTCAGCCAAAAGGCCGAGAAGCAATTCAATTAACGTAGATGTGGCATATATGGTGGAAATATGGGGGTAGGACCCAGAAGCCCTGATTGGATAAGCTAGGTAACTTCTGGATCTCTCTTTCCCTGTTGGTAAATTGGGGGAAATAATGCCATCTGGCAGTTTTTGTGAAGATCAGGTGACTTTTATGACCAGTGTTATACTGGTGAACATTTAACAACTGACTCAAAGAAAAAAACTCTTGGTTTATAGCATTTGCCAATTTCTGTGCTATCAGTGCACACACCATTTTCAAGCTACCAATATGATGTTAGTGATTCAGCATTAGAAGTGATGCTCAGTAACAGACCAATATTCTCTTTCCAGGATACAGATAAAATAGACATAAATAACTTCAAGAGCATAGGTAATAGTAAAATGCAGTGAAATAATTAGGTTGTGATGGGTTCTGAGTATTTGTTACCTTTATTTTCACTATAATTCCTTTCATTGTAAGTTTATATAATTTAATACTTAATAATGGCTGCATTTAACAACCAGCTTGCAAATTTCTGGAAACTTAACAATCAGCACTTGCAAGCTGATAAAGGCCAGCACTAGCCTTTGTCAACTGCCATACAAATGTGTAATTAAGATTCACTCATTCGACCCACATTTACAGAAGTTATCCTGTAAAAGGAACAATACAAAAATTCTTGGAAAACACATATAACAAGGAAAACAGTGCTGTTTATAAACACTGGTAGCTTTCTAAGGTGGCAGGTCAGGTCCATGTGAAGGAAACTGTTTTCTAAGGGGTGGAGGGTAGTGCTGGCCGTCACCCACTGAGCCCAGAATAGCCCAAAGCAGGGGAAGGCAGCCATACAAATGACCTATACTGCATATTTTATTTTAGAAAAATGAAGAAGCAGAACACTGGTTGCAAACTTGGTTGTGTTGAGGCCATGGTTCCTTTGTCCCAACGGTAATGTTGCAGAGTTGCTTCTGGCAGCTTCGAGTAAAACCCTGGTGTGTATTAGTTTCCTATGGCCATTATAACAAATTGTCACCAATATAATGGCTTAAAAAGCCAGAAATTGAGTAGCTCTGTAGGTCAGACATCTAAGATGGGCCAGCAGAGTTGTGTTCCTTCGAGGCTTTAGGGGAGAATTTGCTTCTTTCATCTTTCCAGTTTCTACAGGCCACCTGTATTCATTGGAACCATATTTAAGGCCAGCAAGGTAGCATCTTCAATCGAATCTCTCCCTCACTCCTTCAGCCTCCTGCTTCCCTCTTTTCTCTCATAAGGACCCATGTAATACATTGACAATCTCCCCATCTCAAGCTCCTTAGTGTAATCACACCTGCAAAGTCAGTTTTGCCAGGTAAGGTAACGTGTTCACCAGGCCTGGGGATTAGGATGTGGACATCTTGGGGGGGGGGCCTCCATTCTGTCTACCATGTCTGGCTTTTGCTATAGCATTATCATAGAGTCCAGGCAAAAAACAGTCTTAAAATAGTTTTTTGCTCTATCTATATCTAACTTCCTAGAATAAGGCCCTAAAATAACCTAGCTTATATTAAATTCTTTTGGGGGTGAGAATAAAACTCATTTTTTCCTATAGTAGTACTCTTCAAGAGTCTCTGAACAGGTGGCAATTTTCATACATATTTCTGATTAAAATTTTTTCCTAAATTTATTTATGTTGATAATATTTATGCATCTTGAGGTGGGGGCAAGAAAAGATTAAATACACATGAAACAAAAGGAATAGGAAGTGGAAGGAATATGTGTAACAAAAGGTCAAGTGTTTGAAAATTTTTTCAATTTTATTGAGGTATAATTGACACATGAGATTTTAGGATATTTAAAGTGTACAATGTGGTCATTTGATATACGAATACATTGTG